CTTCCTGTCCATTTCCTGGAAAGTACCTTCCCATCCCTTGAGACTTGGTTCAAATGTTTGGCAAATCGTCTTTGGCCTCTTCACACAATCAGATGGTCCCTCAGCATCCTTCATACCCTTCTACAGCCAGGCAGCAGTGTGATTACTAACTTAAATGACACCTCACTGAACAAAGAACTAGAATTAGAATGTAGAAACGATGTTCTATCAGTCTCTGAACCCCTAGGAATTTTCAGTAGTGTCTGGCATGTAGTAGGTATGTTTCAGTAATGACTGAATGAATGAATGAATGAATGAGAGGAAAATCTTGATGGCAGAGGAGAGAATCTGTAGCAATTATGACTGATAAGACTGGGCTTAGATCCAAGGAGATGTAGACAACTGTGGCCACACTTCCAAGTACACTGAAGAGATCTTAATAGTGTTATGTTTGGTGTGCCCAGCGTTAAAAAGGATACAAACAGCTGAGAATATAATTCACTAAAAGAGAGATATAACTCACTTTGTATCTTTGATCTTGGTTTGCCTGCCTGCCTACTCTACGAAGTGCCCACCCCTCACCTGGGCTTGAGGTATACAATGGAATGTTCTCCTTTCTCCATGCGCTGAATGGCCCTCTCCAGACCATAAGGCAGATCCAGGTTCTCCCCCTCACCAATCTCAAAGCGGAGCTCTCGTTGATCAAAGAGCTGGTCTTTGTAGTACCCTTCCAGTGCAACTGGCATGAAAGAGAGGCAGTGTACCAGAGTTGTAAAAGGGAAGGTGACTGAGGAAGGATGCCATCAGCCTCTCTACATCACCCCAAGATTCTCCTAGTTGTGTTCTCAAAGACAATATGGTCCAACCCCTCATTTTATGGCCAAGTAAACAGGCTCAGAGAAGGGAAGTTACCTGCCCAAAGCCACCAAGGCCTAAATATCAAAATTGGAATTGAAACCCAAGGCTGTACTGTCTTACCCTCCACAATAGCGCCCTCATTGGGCTTAGCATAGCCTTCACCGCGAGTCCGTATTCTGCGGATGATTCCGCCATCTTCCTCTTCCGTCAGATCTTCTCCCTTAAACTCAAACAACTCCACCTGTGGGACAAGATGTGACACAATTCCTTCCCATACTAACTCATGGGCAGTGAAACACAACCTTTCTCTCATCCACGAGAAAGATCTAACTGCCAGGCCAGATCTGACCATAAGGGCAGTCATGAGGAGTCGGGTAGAGGGGTGCTTTTGCTAAGTTCTTGGGAGCTGCCCTAACCTCACCTTTGGTAGAGGTGGGCAGCCTACATGGGCTTCAGTTAAGCTGAGGAGAGCAATCTATTTGCTACCTGCTCTACTAATGAGGACGCATCAGGACGTGTTCCAGGTAATCCTGATTCACACTACCTGATAAGCCCAATCTGGTAGGTGTTAGGAATGATTACCCAATATCTCTCAGCAGTTTCTCAACATTCAAGTGCCCACAGATTGGCTCAACCATTTTCATATTGAACAATGTCAAGTTCTAGCTCCTCAGAGAAGGCTTTTCTCAGCCCTTGAGCCACAGGGAGGGCTATTGCTCCCTCTTCTGATCTCTAGAGCACCAATATTCTGTACTGCCATTTATAAGGATACATAGTTTCTGACCTCCCGACTCCTTTCACTATTCTTCTGGGTACCACTCTTGAGATAAAGAAGCCTTAACCCGACCATGCTTTGAGTCTGGACAGGGGCTTGCGCTGGCCTCTTCCTACCCAAAGCTTCCATTACCTCTATTACTAGCAGCAGCAGAGCCAGCTGCCCTGTTCATTTCTCCTCCTCCCATAAGGCCAGGCCCTCAGCCTTGGCTACATTGTCTCCAAGAAGCAGGAAGGGCTGGAGGGCAGCCAGGCATTGGGCTGAGATAAGGCCTGGCTTTTAGCCTGGATCTCAGTGGCTGGACACTCACCTCAAACACAAGCGTGGCATTGGGGGGGATCTTTGGAGGACTGCCTGCTGAACCGTAGGCATACTCTGGTTTGCAGGTGATGTGGCACACCTCCCCAATTTTCATGGTTGCTATGGCAATGTCCCAAGCCTTGATGACCTCCCCTGCAGATATAGAGGCAAACAGGATCACCTTAGCAGGGTTCTGATTCTGGGCTCACACAGTGCTCCTGGAGAGTTACTGGACCACACTCATGGGGAAGCTGGACATCCTTTAGGAATGGGACCAGAAGGTGAGATACCTGGTTGCATTAAGTGCTACTAGGTCTCAGAACTCTTAAAAGATCACCTGACCCTGAAAAAAAGAGTTTAAGATGCAAGACAGTCCACCTTTGAAGCCGGAGTAAGGTGCTGGGAGGTGATGAGAAGAGAAGACATAGATCAATATAGTTAAAAATTGGTAGAAGGAAAAAAAGAGTGGCAGAAAGAGTCACAGAGTGTGATAAACCACTCCTCCCTGAGCCTGGTCCTGAGAAAATGGTTTCTGCTTGTGACAGTTTGTGTCCACCTCAAACCTATCCTGCCAGCCCACTGACCACGCCTACCTTTTCCCAGGTCAAAGGAGAATTTGTCCTTGCGATCCAGACTGGAGTCAAACTTTGTGCCATCTAACAGCCAGCCAGTGTAGTGGACAAAGACTCGGTCCCCAATCATGGGCATCTCTGTACCTGTGCCCTCTCTCTTGATGACCTGGGAGGAAGGGGGAGAAAGTGAGTACCCCAGGGGTGGGGGTGGAAAGGGGCACCAACACTGTCTGCAAGCCTCCAGAGGAACATAAAGGAACCTCTCTGTGTCCATCCTCCTCTGCCTTCTTGTCCCTCCAGATTCAGTTACTAGCAGCTTAGCCTAGGAGTCAACTAACCTTGTCTTTCTTGAGGTGCAGCAAGACTTGGTTTGAAAAAGAGACAAAAGACTGAGAGATCTGAATTCAAGTTTCTGGCGTATGGATAAGTTCTTAAAACTCTCCACACCTTATTTGTAAAGCAGTGATGATGATCCCTATTTCCTACAGCTGTTGGAAGATTAGACCAGTGAAGGGTTGAATAATAGATTATTATCATCATCGGCAAATGGGGAAGTATTTATGCCATACTTCCTCCTCCTTCCTTCATGCCAGTGGTCATCAGATCAGGGTCTGGTTTGGAGACAGGAGAAAGAGAGGAGCATAAGCGAAGAGAAAAGAAACAGTTCAAAACAGGTAAGGAAGAAACCAGGTTATAGGTGAACCTGGAGGCTCTCCATGGGGCCTTAAACTCTAACTTCGGAGCTAAGTATTCCTGATTAAGTCCAGGGCTGGAGTATTTCCCAGCAACTACAGGCTTCTTTAGCGCCACCTGGTCGGTGTGTGGTTACCCTCTAAGGGAAAGCTTCCACGAAGAACGGAAAGGGCCTTGAGGAGTAGAAAGGTAAAAGGGAAGGAATGGCGGATCAAAGGGGAAATGATCCTTCCTAGAATAACAATCTCATAGAAAACAGCAGGACGCTGGAGCGAGAAGGGGAAGCCACATGCCACAGGACAGCCGCTGGATCAGGCACTCGAGGCCCCCAGTTATCTGGTGCCAAGCCAGATGCACTTCTGGACCAGGTAAAGGCCCCCTGAGGCGGGTGCCGCACTCGCGGAGCTCAACGGTGGGAAGCCAGGATGAGGAGGAGCAGCGGATGGGGAGAGGGCATAAGATGCGAGCTGGGAGTTCACCATCTCTGGACTCTCCCTAGAACCCGCTCCGACCCACGGCAGGTTGTCCTGGCCCAGGTCAAGATGCCCTCCACCCAGCTCCCCAGGCTATTTGTAGTGGAGCGGTCACTCGGCGGCAGGCTCCACAGCAGAGCGCCTCCTTCCCACCCCACACCCCGCAGCCGGGCTCCGGGAGGCGGCGCGGGGGGGGCGGGAGGGAGGGGACTACAGCTCCCGGCATTCCCCGCGCTCGGCCTCCCCGGGGCCGAGGGAGGGGGCGCGGCGCGGCGAGTGGGGACCTCGCAGGGTCCCGGTGTCGGCAGGGGACCCCAGGAGGGCGCCAGAACCCTGTCGCGCTTGTGTCGCACAAAGGCCTCCAGGCCAGGAAAGCACTGTGGGGAGTCGCTCCCCGTCCTGGCCCGTGTTCCACCGCCCGGGTGGGCGAGCCCTGGCACCGCCACCTACAAGGCAGCCCGGGGGGCACGGGGCGGCGCGGGGTGGGAGCAGCCCGGCCTGGCCCCTGGCTGCAGCTGGAGCGCCCGCGGCGGCCGCCCCGCCCCTCTCCGCCGCCCGGCGCGCGCCGAGATGGGCGCTGCAATCCCGACCCCCTGCCCGGGCCCGGGCGCCACGGGCTAGGGAGCCTGGGGCCTCGGTCGGCGCACCTAGGCCGCCCCCTGCAGAGCGCGTGGCCGCCCTCAGTGCCCCAAAGGACGCAGCACGGTCCGGGACTGCGATGCCACCGGCCCCCGGCGGAACCGCCACAAGGTTGCAGAGGCGGCCACCTGGACCCGCGCCCGGCCGCGGGCTCCCTGCTTGGCGGAAGGGTGGCCCGCCGGGCCCCGGGTTCGGTCGCCCCCGCAGGCCCCGCCGTCCCTCACCTTCAGCACGCCTTCGTCCTGTTTGGGGCTTATGTCCACTCCCTCCATGGGCAGCGGCGCCGACTGCGCCCCGTTCTCGGTCGCCTTCATCTCCTCTGCTGTCATCTCCGCGCGGCGCGCCGTTTCTCCGAGAGCTGGCGCCGGCGCGAGCGCACTCTGGGCAGCGGGCGGGGGTACTACCTGCGGGGCGTGCGGGAGGCCGGGCGCCGCGGCGCTGACTGCGGGACGGCTCAGAGACTACAGCACTTCTGCACGCGGCGCGGGAGCGGGGTAGGTGGGTCAGGAGCGGCTAGGGGAGCGATTGGTCCCGCCCCGCCGCGAGGGAGGGGCTGGGAGGAGCGGGAGAGCGGACAGAGGGGGCGGGGTGCAGAACTTTCTAGAGACTGCGGGGCTGATCCCATTCAGGCTCGGGCTGCGGGCGCTTCGGTTTTTTTTTTTTTTTTTTTTTTTTTTTTTTTTTTCCTGGTTCTTGCCTCCTGCTGGTTGCCGGCCCCCTTTCCCTTCTCCTGGGATCCTCGGACTCTGGGGATCTTCCCTGGCCCTTCCTCCCTCCCACACTCGGCTGTTTCCCTGTCTAACCGGATTCTTCCAGATTCTTCTCGATCGATCTCCTGACTTTACTCCGCTAGTCCGCTGCGCCCGCGGCGGTGTGTGGGAAGCGCGGGCAGCCAGATGGCAGCGGCGGCGCGCCCTCCCCGGGACCAGCTTTCACCACGGGCGGCATGGCCTTACCGCTATGACCCGCGTAGACCCTTCCCTACCTGGGGGAAAAGGGGCAAGGGCGTGTGGGCGGGGAAGTGAGTGGACAGCGTTGCCCCGCTGCACAGAGCCAGGGAAAGCGACCTCGATTTCCCCAAAGTCGGGAAGCCCCGGCTGGGCAGCGGTGCCTCCTCCCGCGCCTGCAGATGCTGCAAGCAGCGGGGTTGGCAGGGCATGGCCAGCCCAGCTTGGGACTCACACGGGGCACGCACTCAGGGGACCCTTCCCCGCGGTAATAAAACTGCCGTTTCCGCGAATGCTTACAAGGTTGGGTTGTAAGCATTCGAAAGTAACCGAAAAAAGTCACTCGGTTTTCTTAAAGGCCCACAGAAGGAGTATTTTCAATGTTTGTTTCCTGAGTGTTTCTTGACAGCTTGTGGAGCGCGCAGCTACCGGTGTCACCAAAGCCATGGTCGCGGGACCTAGAGAGCCATCTAGAGAGGGACCTGGTTTTGCTCAGCACCTAACCCCAGCTTAGTATAGCATCTGGTGAGTGGTGTCCAATAGATACCGGTTGCATGAAGTTTCCTTTTTTATTTTTATTTCTTTTTCCAAGTCTTGGCTGATTTTTTCTTTTCTTTTCTTTTTTTTTTTGAGACAGAGTCTCACTCCGTCACCAGGCGCCAGGCTGGAGTGCAGTGGCGCGACCTCGGCTCACTGCAACCTCCGCCTCCCGTGTTCAAGCAGTTCTCCTGCCTCAGCGTCTCGAGTAGCTGGGACTACAGGCGCGCGCCACCACGCCGGCTAATTTTTGTATTTTTAGTAGAGACGGGGTTTCGCCATGTTGCCCAGGCTGGTCTCAAATGATCCGCCCTCCTCGGCCTCCCAAAGTGCTGGGATTACAGGCATGAGCCGCTGCACCCAGCGTGAATTTTTATTCCAATAATAATTATGTTTTTGGACATTCGTTTATGTGTCCGGCACTGTGCTGTTGGGACGCCACCAGTTTCATCAAACTAAATTAGGATCGCTTTTTGGAGATGAACTTTACGGCGTCATAATGTGATGGTTCATTGTAGTCCCTGCCGAGGGAACTTGAAAGAAATGCATAAGAAAAAGCCCTTCTCTCCAGCAATTTACAGCCCACATGAGTTGAGCCACAATGAAGATGTCTCTTTAGGTGACTGGATGCTCCTCCAGAGGATACGGGGGCGCTGCCTCTGTAGGGATTAAATCCACTACTTTTCTGTAGAAATAACAGTGCCAGGAGCCACCCAAACTCCGGGAGACCAGGATGGTGGGTGCTGGCTTCCGGGTGGCAGTTTACCGCAAACTGTCCTTGGCTTGCACCTACTGATTCTTCACGTGTGGCGGTTTCTTTTCTGCGTCTTTTTCTTCATCAGAAGCAGACAGTGTAGGACCCCCTTCTTTAATTCTGTTCAGCACATACTTAATGGAGCCCTTCCGATGTGCCTGCCATTATGTAAACACATAGCCAATACCCTAGTGGAATGAGCATGTGCTTTGGAGTAAGGCGAGTTGGGTGGTCCATGTGTTAGCGGTTTAATTTGGGGCAGGTTATTTAATCTTTATGTCTCGATTTCTTGTCTGTAAAATAGGGATAGTAACATCTGTAAATGAGGGGGATTTAATGGTTAAAAAAGAGGGAATCTGTGTATGGTATCTAGCCAGCACAGTGCACGCCTCCAACTCCGCAGTTGGTAAATAACGGTCGTTAGTGTGATCTGATAGGCGCTGCGGTGGAGATGGGGACAAAGTGCTAAGAAAACAAAGGGCTGTGAGTTAGGGAAGGGCATGAGGGCAAGGTTCCCGGTGGGAAGCTCTGTCCCCACACACAGCGATGGAGGAAACGAGGGGCCCACAGGCATTGGGTCTTGAATCCTGGAGCAGATACTTACTGCTTCACGGAATATTTCCTGGTCGTTTATGATCATAAAACATACACATACTCACTGTAGAAAGTGTGCACGTGTTTTAGTCTCTTTATCTGGCCCATTTAAGTAAGTAGTCTATTAAATATGCTTAAGTAAGTATTCTATTAAATACGGTATCACTCGAAATTCTTCCAAAATGACCCCTTTTTTTTGCAGGAGGAAGTCAGCACACTTTTTCTCATCCACCTTATCCGTAGGTGACTTCTGCTGGGATCAGAAGCTTGTTCTTGTCACACTGAGCCTCTCTGAGCTGACCTGGCTCAGCTCCCAAACCCTGGGCCCATCATTTACGAATGAAGACACCTCGTTTCTATAGTTCATATTTTGACCTTCCTAGGCTGCCAATGCACTTAACATCCAAAGAATTATATAATATTTGGATCATTCAAAAGACTGTGAAATGCAATACGAGTGTGTGTGTGCATGTATGCATACATGTTATGTAGCATACCAGCACAATGAACCTGGGAATCTGTCACCTAGCCTGAGTTAGAACATTCCCAATATAATTTGTCAAAAATGTATTACCAAAAAAAAGTTAACGACCTTTACATTTTTTTCTTGTTAACTTTGGTGTCTGTTGATTGAGAAAATACAAACTCTACGGACCAACTCCTTAAAACATTTATTTGTGTTAGTGATTATAGTTCCATTTTCATACAGTTTAAAAATAGTAGGCCTCTATACGAGGCCTGTGCATAGTGAAGACCTGTGTGAAGGTTAAGCTCATGGGCTCTGGATTGGATTCTCCTAGGTTCAAATTCCAACACAGGCTCTTTACCTAGGTTCAAATCTCAGCTCATGATTGAAACTCATCGTGAGTCCCTGAGCAAAGTTTCCTTGTCCCTAAAATGGCTGTCATGATAATGCCTATCTCACAGGGGTTTTCTTTGAAAATTAAATGGGTTATTTATATTTTGGAGACAGGGTCACACTCTGTTGCCCAGGCTGGAGCGCAGTGGTGCATCACAGCTCACTGCAGCCTCCACCTCCCAGGCTCGAGCAAATCCTTGGGACTACACAGGCATGCACCACCATGCCTGGCTAACTTTTAGAAATTGTTTGTAGAGATGGGGTCTGCGTATATTGCCAAGGCTGGTCTTGAACTTCTGGGCTCAAGTGATCCTCTCTCCTTGGCCTCCCTAAGTGCTGGGACTACAGGTGTGAGCCACTGCGACTGGCAATGGGATGTTACGTGTGAAGTACCTGAACCTGTGCATGGCACACAGGGAGTAGGTGAGTGGTGGTGTGTGTCACACTTCAGCCTTTTGATTGCTGGAATATACTGTTGCATTTTTTGATTGTTTGTGTTTTTGAGACAGGCTCTTGAGCTCTGTCACCCAGGCTAGAATGCAGTGGCGTGAACACACCTCACTGCAGCCTCAATCTTCTGAGCTCAAGTGATCCTCCCACCTCAGTCCCCCAAGTAGATAGGACTATAGGCACATGCCACCATGCCCAGTCATTTTATTTTTTGTACAGACAGGGTCTGACTATGTTGCCCAGGCTGGTTTCGAACTCCTGAGCTCAGGTGATTCCGCCTGCCTCAGCCTCCGAAAGTATTGGGTTTACAGGCGTGAGCCACAGCACCCGGCCTTGGCATATGCAGTTGAAGACATGGATGTCTCCAGCTCTGAAGTTGAAAGCCACTGGTCTAGGTAAGGCTTTGCTCCATTAGTTCCAGAGGAGAGCTTCTCTTCTAATGTTAAATTACGACTGTGCTTTATGCTCCTGGACACTTGATTATGAACTTGACTATCTCATATAACTCACAGTAGCTTCACCTGCTGATATTTTGTCATTCCAACAAGACTGAGAGCCTCTTAATGGTAGACTTGATGCCAGCACTTCCATGAACCCCACCATTAGCTGATCTTGAGGGGAAGGGATGGGATATTTGGTGGTTGTCCTGCTGAAAGAAAGTTTGTTTCCTTTTATAAAATCTAATTGCCTACTTCTGATGAATACATATTTTTTTTTGCTCTTGGAGAGATAGGAAGTAGCAAATCTCATTCTGTTGTATCTGTGGATGCATTGACATTTGGCTTTGGCCTGGATCTTCAGAGGGCCAAATAGCCAAATGGTGATTTCTTCATTGTTTCTGTCTTCCTTGAACTTATGTATGATCAAGGATCATGTGGCCAGGTGCGGTGGCTCACACCTGTAAGTAATCTTAGCACCTTGGGAGGCTGAGGCAGGAGGATCACCAGAGGCCGGGAATTCAAGACCATCCTGGGCAACATAGTGAGACGCTGTCTCTACTAAAAAATAAACACAAAATTTTACATATGAAAAAGGATCATGTATGTGTCTAGGTTATTATATCTAATTAGCATAACTAGGACATGGATTGCCACTCAGGAAAAATAGTCTTACCTTCCTTTGTTGTCAGTTGAAAGTTAACGTGTATTTAAGATCATAAATGCACACTGCAGTGAGCACAGGAGCAATCTAGCAGCTGTTATTATTGAGAAATTAAGACATTATTTTTCCTTCAGTATAACACCAAACTTCTGTGATCAGTCTACTAACTTTTAAAAAATGTATGAATTATAATAGCAATAATAATTGATTTGAGAGTTCAGATTTATTCTTGTATCCTGGAAGTTCATTCTCTGTTGGTATTGGTAATAGTTTTCATTTAGTCAGATATTGACTTTAATATGTATCCTTTTAACATTTAGCCAAAATGTGTATTCATAGCATCTCTTGAGTTTAACTCTTCACATAGGCTGACAGATGAAATGTTATGTAGCCCTTCTCTCTACAATAGCCTCCTCTGGGGGAACTATTTTGGTTTTTCCTCGGGCTTTACCTCCTTAGGTTTGATTTCCTCATGGGAAGAAAGGTTGCTGGAAGCCCTAGTCAGGGGTGGAGATTCTCACATAGATTCCTGGATAGACCAAGCTATCCCTTGTTAGACTCATACACCCTTGGAGAAGAAGGGTATCTTTTTTTAAGGGTCTCTTGGTTTACCAGGGGCTTCATTAATTAGTTATGTGGTACCCCAACCATCCTCTCTTTCCTTTCCTTGGGAAAGAGAGAATGATGGAGAACATCCTCCAGTCCCTGTCCTCAGGGCTTGCCCCCACGAATTTACACTTCCTATAGATGGCCAGTGGATGGAAAGATGTTTATTGAGCACCTACTAGGTTCTTAGGTCTGTACCAGAGGCAGTAGAGTGCAGAGTCTGTGACAGAATCTACCTTCCCTTAAGGAGCTTGCATATAAAGAGAATTAGAGCAGAGCCCAGGGCTAGCCAGTGTGGCACAGTTTCAAAGTGCAGAATGGAAAAGTATTCTGGGAGGGCCTCACAAAAAGCTAAAACTTGAGAAAGAGCTTGAAATATGGAAATTCATATTTATTTGCTTTTAAAAAAGATATAACATAAACCTTTTTTTTTTTTTTTGAGATAGAGTTTCCCTTTTGTTGCCCAGTCTGGAGTGCAATGGCACCATCGCGGCTCACTGCAACTTCCGCCTCCCAGGTTCAAGTGATTCTCCTGCCTTAGCCTCCTGAGTAGCTGGGATTACAGACATGTGCCATCACGCCCAGCTAATTTTGTATTTTTAGTAGAGATGGGGTTTCACTGTGTTGGTCAGGCTAGCCTCAAACTCCCGACCTCAGGTGAGCTGCCTGCCTCAGCCTCCCAAAGTGCTGGGATTAGAGGCATGAGCCACCGCACCTGGCCCATAAATCTTAAATGTATAGCTTGATACATTTTTCTATAAGTAGGTATCCACAAAACCATCACCCAGATGAAGATGTAGAAAATGTCAGCACCCGACGGGCTCCTGGATGTTCCCTCCAGGTCAATAATCATCTCCAACAGTAACCACTTTTCTGACCTCTATTGTAATAGATTAGTTTTATCTGTTTTGAACATCATTCAAGAGGAATCATACAGTATAGACTCTTTTATGACTGGCGTCCTTCCTTCCACGTTATGTTTGTGAAATTCATCCATCTTGTGAACAGGAGTAGCTCATTACCTGTCACTGCTTTGTAATCTTCTGTGGTTTGAACGCCCCACACTGTATCCATTCTGTTGTTGATGACATTGGAGCTTCCAGTTTTTGGCTATGATGAATGAAGCTTCTCTGAATATTTTTGTACGTGACTCTTGATGAACATGTGTGCTTATTTCAGTTTGGTAGATACCTAAGAAATGGAATTGCTGGGTTTGGGTTTTCCTTATATTTGGCTTTGGTAGATACTGACAATTTCCTACAGTTGTGGTTCAAGTTACACTCCCACTGAATGTGTACAAGAGTGCCAGTTGGTCCACACTCTCACCAACACATGGGATGGTCAGTCCTTTTCATTCTAGTGCACCTGGGGGATGTAGAGCTAGATACATAATACATAATCCGTATTTTCTTGATAGCTAATTAAGTTGAACACTTTTAATAATTGTACTTTAGGTTCTGAGGTACATGTGCAGATGATGTAGGATTGTTGCATAGGTACATACATGGCAAGGTGTTTGCTGCCTCCATCCCCCCATCACCTCTATCTGGCATTTCTCCCCATGTTATCCCTCCCCACCCTCCCCACCCCTCACTGTCCCTCTCCTAGTACCTCCCAACAGACCCCAGTGTGTGATGTTCCCCTCCCTGTGTCCATGTGTTCTCATTGTTCAACACCCGCCTATGAGTGAGAACATGTGATGTTTGATTTTCTGTTCTTGTGTCAGTTTGCTGAGAATGATGGTTTTCAGATTCTTCCATGTCCCTACAAAGGACGTGAACTCATCATTTTTCATGGCTGTATAGTATTCCAGGGCGTATATGTGCCACATTTTCTTTGTCCAGTCTATCATTGATGGATATTTGTGTTGGTTACAGATCTTTGCTATTGTAAACAATGCCACAGTGAGCATACGTGTGCATGTGTCATTATAATAGAATGATTTATAATTTTTTGGGTATATACCCAGTAATGGGATTGCTGGGTTAAATGGAATTTCTATTTCTAGGTCCTTGAGAAATCACCACAGTGTCTTCCACAATGGTTGAACTAATTTACACTCCCACCAACAGTGTAAAAGTGTTCCTATTTCTCCACATCCTCTCCAGCATCTGTTGTCTCCAGATTTTTTAATGATCTTGCTCCTCTAGCTCTTTCAATTCTGATGATAGGGTGTCAATTTTAGATCTTTCCTTGATTCTCATATGGGTATTTATTGCTATAAATGTCCCTCTAGACACTGCTTTAAATGTGTCTCAGATTCTGGTATGGTGAGTTGAACACTTTTTCGTACACTTATTGGCCCTCTGGATGGGCTCTTTTGTGAAAGACTTGTGTACATCTTTGGCCCATTTTAAAGGACTTTGTTGGCCAGGGGTGGTGGCTCACACCTGTAATCTCAGCTCTTTGGGAGGCGGAGGTGGGTGGATCACCTGAGGTCAGGAGTTCAAGACCAGCCTGGTCAACATGATGAAACCCTGTCACTACTAGAAATACAAAAATTAGCCAGGTGCGGTGGCAAGCGCCTGTAATCCCAGCTACTTGGGAGGCTGAGGCAGGAGAATCACTTGAACCCAAGAGGTGGAGGTTGCAGTGAGCCGAGATCGCGCTGTTGCACTCCATCCTGGGTGACAGAGCAAGATTCTGTCTCAAAT